CCCCGCCAGCCCAACACCTGGGATAGTGGAGCTAAGGCAGAGATCTTGCCTGCCTGTTTCCCAGCCTGTAAGAGGGGAATATGTACTCTTCCCAAGGTAGTTCTGAGCGACAACACCTACGGGTGCTTGGTTCCCAGAGCAACAGGAAACCTAACTCCGCGTGGGGGCAACGGGTGTGATCCCCGTAGCGGTTCTGCAGAAGCATCGGATGGTGGGCTGGATCAGGGAGGTAAAACTTGAGCTGCGGGCATTGAAGGGTTACAGAAGGGTACAGAGGCAGGTTTGCCGCCTCCTTCGGGGTGCCCCAGAGGTAAAGCTTTTTCTCTCCAACTCCGCTACGACCCTCCCCTCTCCAGATTCCTCCCTTCTCTCTGCTCCTCCTGTCCATGTGTCTCCCCCCACTTTTCCCCTCCTCTCCACCCGCTTTCATCTTCTCCCTCCCTCGCTGTCCCACCTTCTCTCGCAGAACCCAGAGAGGATCTCTGGCCCTCCTACGCAAGCGCAGTCGGTGCTAGCTGGTCCCCTGGTTGGAAGCTCCATCTCCAAGCCAGGGATAGGCCCAAAGTCTTCTCAGCTCTGTCGCCCGGTAGGACTTTGGCTCCTGCCTGGGGCTGGGGACTCTGGCTGTGGAAATGCAAGTTGTGGGGCTCCCGGGAAAGGGGTCAGGAAGCTGCGGGAGGGCCGTCCGCCTGTCACAGCCCCTCAGGGCGCCAGTCAGCCTGTGTTCAGCTGAATTGCTCAGGCCAGACCACTTTGCCCTCGCCACCTGCCCCGGCGCCCCGGCCACAGCTGTCCAGGGCCAGGTGTGCCCCTGCCACCTATCACCCAGCCGGGCTCCCCTCAGTCCGCGGCTGGCGTCCCCTTCTCCTCTCCCTCCTGCGAGTCCTCTCCTCCCGGGCTTCCTCTCCTCCCGGGCTTCCTCTCCTCGGCCGCCGGCCCGTCCCCACCCCTGGGCGGGCTGTGTCCCGGGCGGGCCGGGTCTGCGGACCCGGACGGGGGCGGGCGGCTTGGGCAGGGGCTGGGGCTGGCCTCTGAGCGGGGCTGCAGCCCACGTTTCCAGCGCCTCTGCTTTCCCTGCCCCGCGACCCCGGGGCTGCCCTCCTCTCCCTTTCCAGCTCCCTGAGGACCAGATCAGCTGCGTGGGCGCTGCTCCCTGGGCTGAGAGCCTCAGGCTGTAACGCCCATCTTCTCCAGTTGGAGTCGGGAAAAGGGAGCGTCAGTGCTGAGCGAGCTTCGGTCTCTTCCCTCAGTGTTTCTGCCCCAGGTAAGTATCTTGAACACTTTCAGGTGTTATGATGGCGGTGCTTGTTGATGTCACGTGTTTTTATAGTGAGAGGGCTTACAGTGTTGAAAGCAAGGCTTGGTTCATTTAAAAATGAACTGAAGG